GTTCTGAAATCTTTAATATAGAATTTTTTTCTATTTTATTAAATAAAGTTTCAACTATAGCATTTACAAAAAAAAAAAAAAAATACTAACTTTGCAAAAATTTCTCAGTTTTTTGAAAATTATATTGTAAGCAGAATGATATTCTAAGTTATATTATCAATTGAAATATTGGATTGTGTTTTAAATCTAAGGAAATCTTCTTTAAAATTAGTATTCCTTAAATTACTTATTAAAATATATCAATGAATACTAAACTTTGCAAGAGGTTTGGAAATTATGTTAGTAAGCAGAAGCATTTAATATCGAAGTTTTTATACATACTTTTAATAAATTATAATCTGATTTCTGATTGTATAGTTTTTTTGCATTATTAGTAATTCATTAATAAAAAGAGAAAATATTCTAAGCTGTATTTTTTTTTAATCATCTTTTTTCAATTATATATTTTTTAATGACATCACAAAAAACAAAAATTTCTATTACTGCTCATTTAAATAAATATTTGGTTATTTTTAGAGAAGATAGAGGGATTATGTTTTTAATTACTGTAACTTGTCTGTTGAGTGAAAAATCAAATCTATTATCGATAGACATTATAATTCAAAAACGCATCTAAAAAATAAGCAAATATATGAAAATAAAGAAAATTCAAAAAAGCAAATTATACTTGCTGCTACGGCAATTGCATCCAAATCAAAAAAAGAAGTTATAAAGGATTTAATTGAAGCCTTTTCTTTAGCAAATATTCCTCTTGAAAAAGTAAACAGTCTACTTCTCTTTTTTAAAAAACACTTTAAGAAGGTGACATGATCCCTCAAGCCTTTATACTATGTTAACTTTACCTACCCTGTATATTTAATAATCATTTTTCTTTACTTCAAGATCTTTTTAATCAAAAATCTGTAGCAATAATAATGGATGAAACTATAGATGAATGCTCATATAGTGTTGTAAATACACTTTTTATTTTTTGAAAAAATGCAAAATTAGTTTCTATTGATTTTCTAGATCGTGTTAACAATTCAACAGTTGGAGGAGTTTTATTAACTCTTTTGGTTAAATATAATATTGCTTATACTTTGCCAAAATTATTTGTTTTTGATTCAGCAGTATATTTGAAGAAATGTTATCATGAAGTATTAAAACCAGTTATGCCACAGTTAGTATATACACCTTGTTGTATACATATTATTAATTTTATCAGGTAAGTAAATTTTAATTTAGATAAATTTATATGTATTTGTATTTGTTATATATATAATATATAGTAATAATAATTATTTATTATTAGTGATACTTGGCGAATGTTTCCTGATTTTAAACTTGTAAAAATTTTTTTGTCAAAAATTAAAAAAACATTTGTTAATTCACCTGCATGTGAAGATTGTTACCTAAATCATCTTAAAAAAATATATGATGTTAAAAATCTGTGTAAAATTCTATTACCAAATAAGACACATTGGAATTCATAGTTTAAAATAGTATTTTATACAAAGGATAATATTGAATATTTGTCTTCTTTTTATTCAGAAGAAGATACAAGTAATGAGTTGATTGCTAAAATAAATGAAATTTTACAAAATCGATAAAAAAAAGGCATGGTTATTATTTATCTTAACTTTATAACATTTTATGCTCAAGAATTTGTTCATGACTTAGATTTTTTCAGCAGCAAAATAATCTAGTATTTCCATATGTTAAAGAACAACTTGAACAACTTTCGTTGTTTATTGAAGGAAATATTATAGCACAAGATTTTGGATCTAATATAAATAATCTTATAACATATTTTAATTTTAATTTAGAAAAAATTAATGATGTTTTTAGATTAACATTTGTTACTACATATAATAAATATGCAGTATATATTCCACAACATCCTGCTTACTAGTGTTTTGCAAACAAAACCGAAGATTCGAGGACCTGCTCAGAACCTCATAGGCAGAAATTCGTCTGATTGGCTAGCTTTGTAGATCAATTTGTAGATCTACATGTGATTATTAGCCAA